GAGGTTGTGGCAGCGGTCGGCTGTTGTCCCATGTTCGGTGCCGCGCGCGATTTGAATGTACAGTCGGCCCTTCACATATGCGGGTTTAGCATACACGGATTCGCAAATACGCGGATTGCCTGCCGGAGGAATATTCTGTACATTGAAGTAATTGAAGTACATTCAAATCGCGCGCGGCACCGCACACCGCCAGCCACCCCCCGCACACACACACACACACACACACACGCTCCCTCACTCAGTCAGTCTCGCTGTAACCACGATTGTATTGGCATCAGCATTGTAGGTCGACCCTGATTTTTTGACCAAAAATTCGTTAATTTATGATATTCCTTGTTTATAGGTCGACCCAAGTTTTTGAGGGTATTGGAACAACAAAACCTTTAGTAAAAACGCTCTACGTCCTATAAACTGAGGCTCACTGTGCCTGAAACACCAAGTGCCGAAGGCAAATTGTTTACCATTTATTATTACGACACTTTACACTGAAACGCGGGTAGTTTCAACAAAAATATTGTGTATTTCCATTTAAGTATTTATTCAAGTCAATTAGGAGGGAATATTATTGTAATACAACAGTTTTTTAACTGAAAACCATTCGAAAAGCGATTTCGGTAACATCTTTTGAACGAAAGAAAGTGAGTCATTGCTTTCGTCACGATTTTATCCCACTTTCCACTTTTCTACATCTAGATCAAAGGTTTTCAAAGCATTTTTAACCTTGGGCCACTGACAAATAAATTTATGTAACATACTATCAATTTTGAACTGACCATCACTAAGGTTTATTGATTTTAATTCCTTAATCAAACTAGCTTCAACCAGAAGTCTTTCTGTGACACAAGATCATTTGAATTCTTCTAAGCTTTTTTCCCAAGCAATGGGATGATTATTCTTCTTAACATGAACGAACAGGGCACTGCTTTCAGATGCTGTTCTGATATTGTACTTATGTTGTCTGATTCTGAGCTGCAGTGTTTTTCCTGTCTGTCCTACATAATTTGATCTAGATGTAGGATAGTTATTTAGTGGGTCCCTTATTTTTTACCTGACCTGACTATTCACATCGCCCCCTTCTCTTAAGCTCCTCTACGTGTGTGTTGGTGTGAGGATTAGTGGATGACATCATTATGACCTGACTTCATGTTTAATAATGTCACCCTGTATATTTAAGCCTCTCTCTGTCCATGTAATCCAGTTGCCTCTGAAGATGTCTTGAATAAAGATGAAAGCTAAGGTGCTCCGTTGTTTCCCTTTTCTCGTGTGATTTTATCAAGATATATATATATATATATATATATATATATATATATATATATATATATATATATATATATATATATATATATACTGTATATATATATATATATATATATATATATATATATATATATATATATATATATATATATATATATATATATATATATATATATATATATATATATATATATATATATATATATATATATATATATATATATATATATATATATATATATATATATATATATATATATATATATATATATATATATATATATATATATATATATATATATATATATATATATATATATATATATATATATATATATATATATATATATATATATATATATATATACGTACAGTATTATATTCGCATTTTCGACTTGCTACCAATTCGACTTAGGACCTGGATTTGGGTCTTTAACCCCGTTGTAAGTCGGGGAGCAGCTGTAGTCTGGTCCCCATGGGTCATAGGTGAACCTACTACCTGTACTACCAAATTCACATCCTCTAGTGACGGAGACTTCCTTGTATGCAGTGTATGAGCTGGGCCATCCAATCCTAGTAGCTCCTCACTCAACACTAACTCCCCAGTCACTGTCCCGGGGATCCCTCTACCATCTAGCAGTCCAGACAACTGTCCTTCATCATCCCATTGCACATCACTCATCTAAGCTAGGAGGAACACTATGAGTCACTCAACATACTAACATATACTGTAGTCACAATGTATCATCATTATCATAATAATACAACTCCTCCCTGACTTACGACTGGGTTAGGGACCCAAATCCAGCTCGTAAGTCGGGAAGGAGCTGTACAAGGGATTTTACATTTTCTCCCAAGGATAATCAATATGACTCACTACTATGATATTTCAGAACTGTATCTCAATTTAATATCCATTCATATAAATACTTCCTATTGTTCCTATGAGTCACCAGTGAGACAATCTTATACAACTAACTCACTATATCATACACCTCTCCCTTCTCTTATCACAATTGTCCTTCAACTCACTGAACTCTGCTCCTTGATCAAGCTAAGATTCATTTCAGACCGATCATAATCATCATCAAGGTCAGGGCATTCGTTCGGCCATGATAGAAATCAGTGTGATCATACCCTATTGGTGGCCCTGACAGAGTTCAGTGTGTTCATAGCCTTAGAATATTTTCAGTGTTCACCCATTTCTCTATTGCCAACCAGGTCACACAGACATCACCGCTTCAACTAATCATTTTTGAGCGATGATGCCTGAGTGAGCATCGAGTCACCCAGAAAGGTTGGCAGTGCTGAGCTGCTACCTTAGCACTCCATTGACTAACATCGTTCGCCATTACTCTAGTGAGATGTATTGGGCTGAGAAATCCCACCATCTGAGTGGTTCTCATGTAACCCAGGCTGATGATACAAAGTTCATCCCAACATAACTCTAGATTGCTAGTAAGACTGGAAGGTCAGCATCCGGAAGGATCACTAAGACTAGCAACCTCGCTAAAGACTGCCGGGGAAGGGCTGAACCCTCTACTGAGGACATGAATAAACTAGAGTTATGAAGAGAAAAACTTAACTCTGGCGTGAATGCTAAGAGTAATCATAAAACCCTAGGGCGGAAGCCCAAAAAGTTTCGTGAACGAACCTGAGAAGAGGGAGGAGGATGGCCACATTCACCATGGTAACTTATCACAGCTCTTGCATGGTAATAGTTGGGGCTAAAATAAAAAAATATACACAGTGAAGATGAGCCCGGAAGGGCTAAAAACAAACATCATTCACAAAGTGACTTGAAAACTAGGAATCATTAGTCACTAGAATTCAATTGTCTTCCCAGGTAGAAGATGATCCGCCGTCACCATGATTGACCAAACCGTATAAAAAACTACCCAAAACACAAAATCTGAGTGACATCACCAAAAATAAAGCCACTCAATTTGCTCACCATGCTATGATGTATAATTACCGAAGGTAAATGCTTCGTGGCACTTAAGACTCCAGCAATCACAACACAAAATAATGGAGCCTTCTATGTGCGCGTTTACTGCTGTGTCGCCAGGCAAGAGATGATATCAGTGATGCGTGGGCTTGTGGGTGCCAGGTAGTAATGTGTCCAAATATTACGTATTTTATTAATTATTAGATGTTTTAATTGCCTGTATGTTAGCCTGGTGAGTTAGGACAAGGCATATACATATGCTGGTGCAAAACTAGATGTCGCGTTCTGAATTTAACAAAAAATCCTGAATCGGAGAAATGTGCAATGAATATATTTTTGTATGTGTCAGCATAGTAACTGAAACAGATCTTAGTCAGTCATGAATGCACCTTTAGTTTTAGGTTTCTAATCTGTTTGTATTAGCCCTGGTCTCATTGACAGTCTTGTATAACTATCACTCCCTGTAATCTTCCATAGCTGTGAGGTTCGTGTTCGGAACATGTGATAAGGTGTTTCCACAGGAAGACGCGTCACTTAGTGCTAAGTCAAGGTATAAGCAACAGTCTTCCTGGCCACCCTTAGAGCTATCCCTGATGAGCTCCATCTTCCTCGAGGAGTAGTTACACACCACTCCGGAGAGGAGGACGTCATTAGAGCCATCCCTGATGAGCTCCGTCTTCCTCGAGGAGTAGTTACTCATTTATTACAAGAGGAGGACGTCTGATATACTCCTTCCTTCCTCGAGCAGTATCTACTCAATTCTCATTACAGTCGGATGCCCTTGAGCCTATCCTTGATAGCTCCGTCCTTCCTATAGCCCCACAGTTACGTAGACTCTTTTGATAATAAACTAAGCAAAGGAACATATTGGGTTTGATTACTAAAACCCAATAAACTTTTATCTATATTGTAGTTCGTCTAGAATATAAGGTAACAGCTTCACAAGTAGTTGTTATACAACAGTCTCAGTCACCTAACAGTTACACAGTTGGTAATGGTAGAGATAATTTGTTCTGTCCATCGCTGTGTTACACTGTTACTAGAAGTTATCATAACATGTGTCTTTAACTTCCAGATTTTCATACGTGGTACAGTATTGTACCAACTGTGGTCAGGCTTTCTTCATGAGAGTGCTCTTTGTACAACACAGCTTAAGCATTCATTGGTTATTTTTGACAGATAACTAGTTATAAAGGATAGATCCTGAAATCCTGTTTGATAATAGAGCCTAAAAAGAGTTAATGAGATCCCATCCTCCTCCTTTGATGTCATCATAAGAGGTCAGTGGATTATGTGGGGTTGATTCTTCATCCCGCTCAGTGATAAAATCTGACAAGTAAATATCTGGTAGCTCATGTGCTGTGATACCATGAGAGTGATTTCCATACCTTCCAAGCCACCATGGACAACCTTGCTTTGTCAGACACCTGATCATGGGACATGGTTAGGGGGAAGTTGGCTGATGGTCAGTTTAGCCCTAGTCACTCTAGTTTAGAGCTTCCAAGGGTTCCGAGCCCTCAAAGTTTGGTGGACACATTTACAAGTTAATCTTTATGATGTTATTAAAAGACATTGTGCAGCTTAGAGAGCTGCCATCAGGTAATCATGACTAATGCACACGACTGTGGGAAATGACCATGAAATGGTGGAGATGATTATGATGATATCAGCCTTTTCCTGCTATGGGTGGAGAGCAACTGAAATCATTTTGTCTTCACTCTTTCTACTTTATAGTTAAGATTTCAATTGTGTTTAATTACCTGTTTCTGAAAGAGACTTTCTTGTTGCAGGTGACCTTCATGGAAATTACCGAGACTTAATGTGTTTTGAAAAAGTCCTTTGGAGAGTGGGTCCAGGACTTACACCTGCAAACTTCCTGTTTCTTGGTGATTATGTTGATAGGGGTGACTATGGGATTGAGGTGAGTGTTCTTCTTTACTGACAACATGTTTGTTTATTTCTGTGAATTAATATGCAGTAATATCTAGATAATATGCATGTTGTAATATATTTTGAATAAAATTAGAGCAATATATGCATACAGTATTATGCGCATATAATGGTGAGAATATGGTTCAGAATTCCTGGGCAAGATTCAGTTCACTCTTGGTAGTGTTCTAATGTAGAAAACAAATTAACTTCATTTTCATAAGCAATTTTGATTTGTGTGCAGACACCTGGCTAGTAGTGTTGAGTCATGGCTCATTAAGGACAATATTGTACCTCAATTGCACAGTACAGTACTGTATTACTTTTTCATTTCATTGAAGACTGAAATCTTAGTAAGGCATTGTTGCTGTTTGTATCCAATTTTAGTGAACTGAATTGATAGCCGATGAGAAATTTATTATCAACACTCGGTCATATGCAGTAATGAAAATTAGTAACATTCAAGCATTTTGAACACCACAGGTGTGTTGATTTTATTTTTATTTTTCAAATAATTCTGTATGTGTAATAATACCTGAGACACACACATGAATGGAGCAGGTAGGTTTGGGGTGGAGCTTAACATGCCAAGTCACATGGGAGGCAGGGGGTGGTAACTGGGTACTCAAGGATTTATTACATTTGTTTTAACTATATATCCTCATTTTATACACTTGGTTCATGTTTTCATTTACATTTACTGAAAAAAAACAATATTTAAAAAAATACATATTTGTATATAATTATTTATCATAATTTTTCATGTGTATTTGCAGTTGTAGTCGTTGACTTTTCTATATTAGCCATAAAATATTTATGATTGTTAACCCCTACGCCCCGGGCTAGGGTGGTGCTGGCTGTACCACCCACGCGGGGTAAAACGGGAAATAAATTTTTCAAAATATAAATTTTAATCTTTATAAATGATAAAACGTGAAAAAGACATAAGTAATACTAAATATTGTCCCTCAGTGGCAAGTGAAATAAAGAGAATTGTGGGTTTTCTTACAGGGAGCAGCTCGCGGTCACTATGCAGTAGAGGTCCTTTACCTGTCTCTTTTGTGTCCCGGTGGCCAAAAATGCATATTTTTACTGATCATAATACAGTGGTCCCTCAGTTAACGAATACAATTCGTTCCACAGAGTCTTTTGTTAACTGAAAGTTTCGTTAAATGAATCTATTATTTCAATGGGACATTGGGTAATTGGTTCCAACGTAACAAAACATTAAATTTAAACTTAATACAGTACTGTACTGTACATTATACTGTACAATAATAAATAAAAAACAATAGAATACTGTATTTTAACTTACTTTGAGGTGTGTATGTCGTATTACCGGCAGCTTTGTTTATATATCAAACAGCTGATTGTAGAGGCAGTCGATGATGACATGCCATATTCTTTACAGAGTACATTGGTTCTCATGCCTTCTTCATGTTTCATAATAATTTCTGCACTGTATATTATCAATATGTTTACTAAATTTCAGAATGACCAATAATTTTAATGTAAAAATGAAAAAAAATATTCAAGAGATCAACAAAATTGATGTTCACTCCACTGTAAACAAAGTTAAACTGAGAAGTGTTATTGGTGATTCAATCAGCTGATGGGTGCACAGAAACTGTTCCCTGTACCGTCTACATTATCAATATGTTAGCTAATTTTAGAATGACCAATAATTTTAATATAAAAAATGCAGAAATATTCAAGAGACCAACTTTCTTGATATTTACTTCACTGGAAACGAATGTAAACATAGAACCAATTACTGTATTGGTGGACTAGCCGATCAGCTGATGCGCACAACAAAACGTGTTTGTCGTAAGGATTTCGTTAATTGAAGTTTGGTCGTAAATCGAACTGAAAATCCTTATGGGAGCTAATTCATTAACCGAAATTTCGATAATCGAACCTTTCGTTAACTGAGGGACCACTGTACTTATTTCCTATAAATAATTAATTTAGAAACTATTTTATTTGCATTACTTTTCATAAAAACTGTTCAGCGGCACACACCCAGTTTGTCGCCAGACTGTCTGGTTGTCTTTGTGTTTGGTAGAGCAAGTAAGTCATATAAATAATTATCGGAATAATAATTCCACAAATAAATACATTCATAACATTATCATACAATTATCATCTCGTAATACTACACAACTACACTACTTTTAGTAATATTACTTTGATACAACATGATAAAAAGGACAATCACTGGTAAATAAACAAACAAAAGAAGGTACAGGTTGGCAATCCTTTATCCGAAATCCTTGGGGCCAGAGGCATTTCGGATTTCGGAATTTTTCGGTTTTCAGAATGGTTAGGGGTTTTTTTTTTTTTATGTGTATTAGCCCACCCGGGCATAGATCACTCACCCACATTGGGGCCTGAGGGAGGGGGGGAATATAATAAAAGTTAAAATAATAATAATAATAATAATAATTCATAGGTCTAGGTCGTGTTTCTCACTTTTGATCTTTTTTTCATTCTTGTATTTCTTTATTATTATTATTTTATTATTACATTATTATTATTATTATTGTTATCATTATTACAGTATTTTATTTTGGTGTATTTTTCTTAAAAATTTTATTTACTATGAATAATTATTATTATTATAATTATTGTTACTACAGTCAACCCTCACTTTACGCGGTTAATGTAACCCACAGGGTACCGCAGAAAGTGAGAAACGCGTAAAGTGAATAACATAACATATGGGATTAATTGAAATAGAGACCGGGCCGACCCCCAAACTCCACTTTTTGATGACACACAACTATGTTGTAGTAAAAATATTATCTTAACTTTATGATGGTATGCACACACAATTAATAATTAAGAGAAATATCAATACTTTTAGGTTTTTTAACACTTACATTAGTAGAAAAGATGGCTGGGCACACGGGGATGGGCGGTTGGTTACGAGGCAGAGGGCAGATTATTGGCCCTCACCTGTATCACTTGTATCAATTGTATCACTATCCACCACAGAGGCTTGCAGGGCCTCTTTGTCAAACCCCCCAAAGTCCATATAAGTCCATATCCTCACCATAATTATCACTATCACTTAAGGCCGGCTGTGGTGGGTGGCGGGTGAAGAACTGGTAATGTTTTGATGACTGGGCGACCTTGTGCGCACCATGTTCGAACTTCTTACACAACATGGCGGATGGCGGGAGGTTTGGATCCAAAAATGGCGCGGCTCGCCAGCCGCTCTCCGCGTAAAGGGGTACACACACCGCGGAATGTGAGCATCCTGGGTTCCGGCAGGGCACCGCGTAAACGTGGAAATGCGGAATGTGGGACCGCGTAAAGTGAGGGTTGACTGTACTGTATTACATTTTCGTCCCCCAGGCCCCGATGTCGATCAGTGATCTATGCCTGGGCGTGCTAATCCCTGTTTTATACGAAAAAAAAAGCCCCCCTAAAAAACTTTCGGTTTTCAGAGCTTTTTGATTTTCGGAATTTTGGATAAAGGGTTGTCAACCTGTACTCACCAAGAAGCTTCCCTCCAACCCCACGTAGATAAGTGAGGTGGATGGGTGGTGTGTTGCCACCCTGACCCCGGGTATATGCTAGCACCCGTGGGTAGAGACGAGTGAATGCATACAACTATGTACCTTTTCCACAAATATGTTAGTTTGTTCCTTACAAATACACTTATATTACTATTTATTTACAAGCACGTGCCACATTGTTTTAGAATGTTTTCTTGGAGTGGTACTCCACGGAGCAAGGTGGACAGAGACCATCGTCACATTCCTTGCACCACGTCATCACATCCTTACACTTAGCTGCGCGCTTTGTGGTGTTAGCACAGACATAATACCGTCTTTACCCCTTACAACCACCTGGACCAGTTGGTAAGAAGTCTGTGTTGTGACGAACAACCCAGTCATGTGCAAGCAATCTGTCAGGTAGGCCTGCTTGGCTGTGACGTTGTGGTACAGTTGCCACGATGGTGCCATATTTCTTCAGGATTTGCAATATCACTTGCTTCTGAGAAACCCTGAGAGAGGGTTTTTCTCGGTTTTTACTAGGTACAAGTTGTATGCATTCAGGATGGTGATGTCCATGAGGTGGAGGAACATCTTCTTGTACCACTTCAGACATTTCCTTACACACTCAATTGAGCCAACCTGCATGTCACTCTTGTCCACGAGACTCATGTTGACATTGTACAGTATAGTCTGCATTTACGCGGTTTTTGTTTACGAGTTTGGTCATTTAAACGGTGCCTTGCCAGAATGTAAATGCTTTAATTATGCGGTAAATTTGGTTTTCTTCGTGGAGAATGGCTGGAGGTCCAGACGCGCCACGCCATTTTTTATTCAAGCGGTCCATTCTCGACCATACGCGGGAAGCGGCGCGGATATGGATGCGCAATATGTCGCTGTTGCGTTATCGCTGACGTCATATAACGTATCGGACTGTGATTGGGTCACGCATCCTTACCTCCCTCTGCCGCCAGCTGTGATTGGTCTAATGTTATATGACGTGGCCTGGCACGGGAGGGAAGTTACTGACCCAGACCCGTCAATCTCATTGTTCTCAGTCACCGCGTACAGTGGTCCCTCGGTTAACGAACGCCTGGTTAACGAAATTTCGGTTAACGAACTGCCTCCCATAAGATTCTTAAATTCGGTTAACGAATTTCTTACGATCCGACCTCAACATGTTTTCGCTTGCACTGGCCGGTCAACCAGCTTTAGTATTCGTCCGCCAATACATTAATCGGTTCTAGGGCTTAAATTTCTTTCTATTTTAGTAAATATCAAGAAGTTTATACTATTCAATAATTTTAAAAGTGTAATATTCAATTTTTTAGTCATTTTAACAATTATAGAACATAATTGAAGGTAAAGTGACTAGTTTAATGCACGGCATCCAGCCTCTTAACACAGCAAACAGGCATTAGTCTCTCTCTGTTTTCACTGGAGGTAACATCTTGCTTGAGACTCTCTTCAACTAAACGCTTTTTTCTGT